TACCCATCCGGGCCAATTTGAAAACAAATTCATGGGAAAGTGCCGCAATTGCGGAAAATTCGGACATAAAGCTGCGAAATGTCATGTGAAACCCGTTGCTACCACAGAGAGCAAGCAAGAACATTACAAAACTGGTTATAAAACTGTTACTTGCTTTTCGTGTGGCCAACCTGGCCATGTATCAACGCGTTGTCCAGATAAATCCAGAGCTTCAACTTCTTCAAGGCATGAAGAAAAACGTGTCAATTTAATCGAAGTGAAGAAGCTACCACAAGGACAGCTGACGTTTATGAATGGTAAAGTAGTTGATTTTCTTTTTGATTCTGGTTCTGAATGTTCATTGGTAAAAAATAGTGTGGCAGTCTGTTTGAATGGCAAATATCAAAATTGTATGATAACTTTGAGAGGCATTGGTGGAAATTCCGTATTTTGCACTTCACAAATGTTAGCACTAGCTAAAATTCAAAATATTCATGTCGAAATTTTATTGCACATAGTACCTGATGATATTATTTCCTTCGATATTATAATTGGTCGGGATTTAATCGCTCAGAGTATAAACGTTTCTTATGGACCAAGTGGCCTATTTTTGACTCGTGAGAAATCCGTACAAATTTGTGACAGTATTGTCGGCAATTTCAATATGATAGATACGGACTTAACTTCACAAGATAAAGAAAATTTACTTAATATGTTAATCAATTATCAAAATAATTTCGTAAATGGAGTGCCGACGGGTAGGGTAAAAACAGGTAGCTTAGATATTCGTTTAAAAGACCCTTCAAAATTCGTGCAGCGAAGACCTTATCGCTTGTCAACCGCTGAACGCGAAATTGTACGGGAAAAGGTTTCTGAATTACTTGAAGCTGATATAATTCGCCCTAGTTGCTCTCCTTTTGCAAGTCCGATTTTATTGGTAAAAAAGAAAGACGGTACTGATAGAATGTGTGTCGATTATCGTGAATTAAATAGAAACACTATTTCAGATAGGTACCCTCTACCGCTAATTAGTGACCAGATTAATCGTTTACACGGCGCTTATTACTTTACATCTTTGGATATGGCTGCTGGTTTTCATCAAATTCCGGTTGACCCTAATAGTATCGAAAAGACCGCATTCGTTACGCCCGACGGTCAATACGAGTACCTGACTATGCCTTTTGGGCTCACAAATGCACCCTCAGTCTACCAGCGGGCAATAGACAAAGCTTTAGGTACTTTACGTAATACAATAGCTGTTGTTTATATTGATGATGTCTTGATCCCGTCCCGATCTATTTCTGAAGGGATTGAGCGTTTAGAAACGATTATTAAAACACTTGTTGAGGCCGGGTTTTCTTTCAATTTGAAGAAGTGCAAATTTTTAAAAACCGAAGTCGAGTACCTGGGTTATTTGGTACGTGCGGGTGAACTTCGCCCCAACCCAGGCAAGGTTTCGGCTTTGCGCAATTTGTCAATTCCAAAAACTCAAACGCAAATTCGCCAGTTTTTGGGTTTGGCATCGTATTTCCGTAAGTTCATTCCAAACTTTTCGCGAACAGCTACACCTTTATATCAGCTAACCAAAGGCAACATAAAATCAATTAAATGGTTACCTCATCACGAAAATGCCCGTGATATTTTGATTAAATCTCTAACATCAGAGCCTGTGCTTTCTATTTACGACCCCGAACTGCCAATTGAATTGCACACAGATGCCAGTTCTGAGGGTTACGGCGCTGTTTTGTTACAACGCAAAGATTCAAAACTGCATGCTATTGCTTATTTTAGTAAACGTACTACTGAAGTTGAGTCTAGATATCATTCATACGAGTTGGAAACATTGGCAGTTGTTAACGCGGTTAAAAATTTCAGACATTTCTTGCACGGGAAACATTTTCTTGTCGTCACGGATTGCAATTCTCTAAGGGCTTCTCGAAATAAAATTGACTTAACACCTCGAGTTCATAGGTGGTGGGCATTTTTGCAAGCTTTCGATTTTGATATTCAATATCGTGAAGGTGCGCGTATGCAGCACGCAGACTTTTTCTCACGAAATCCCATTCCTGAAAAAAAAATTGCCCAAAATTTTAATAACAATCGCACTACAGTTAAAATAATCCAACTGTTAGATATCGAAAAGGACTGGCTAAAAGTCGAGCAACAGCGAGATGACGAAATTGTTCAGCTTACGGCAAAATGGAAATCTCGTGAACTTGCACCCGATTTGTTAAAAAGCTATGATTTGCAAAATAATGTTTTGTTGCGGAAAATAGAAAGATGTCATAAATCAAAGTGGTTACCCATAGTTCCTCGATCTATGGCATGGTCAGTTATCAATCATATTCACGTTGACTTGAAACATTTAGGCTGGGAAAAAACTTTAGACAAATTATATGACTTCTATTGGTTTCCAAATATGTCCAAAAACGTCAAAAAATTCGTCAGCAATTGTCTAATATGTAAAACATCTAAGGGAACATCAGGTTCCACTCAAATTCAATTACATTCTATCCCTAAAGTACCAAAACCTTGGCATACCATTCATATTGATATTTCGGGAAAATTAAGCGGAAAAAGTGATAGGAAAGAATACGCTCTTGTAATTATTGATGCTTTCACTAAATTTGTTTTGCTATATCATATCTCGTCATTAACGGGTAAACAAGCTGTAGAGTCTTTCAAAAATTTTACATATTTGTTTGGTGCACCAAGTCGTGTTATTTCTGACCAGGGGAAATGTTTTACTAGTTCTGAATTCAAAACTTTCTGTTCCTCAAATAATATAGAGTTGCATTTTATTGCACACAGTGCAAGTAGAGCTAATGGACAGGTTGAACGAGTGATGCAAGTCCTCAAAAGTTTGTTTACAATTCAAGAGGCAGTGGGTACTTGGCAAGATAGTATAGGCGAGGTTCAATTAGCTTTGAATAGTAGTAAACACCGGACCACCGGATTTAGTCCAGCAGAATTGTTGTTTGGTACTAAAATTCATTCAATACAATTAAATAAAATAGTACACGAACTTGTTAGTGACGAAGATAACATTCCTTTGTCCGAATTAAGAGAAATAGCTAGTGCTAATATTGGTAGAGTTGCGGAAATGGATAAAACCCGTTTGAATAATTCAAAAGCCAAGATTAAGCCGTTTGTTGTTGGAAATTTTGTGTATGCTAAATGTAATGAGAGAATGTTGTCGAAATTAGATCCTAAATTTAGAGGACCTTATAAAATTATTCAGGTGTTACCTAATGATCGTTACCAGGTAGAAAAGGTAAACGGTAAAGGTGCATTATGTAAATTTGCCCATGATCAATTAAGAATAGTGCCTAATGGTCAGGGTGCAGAGATGTTTGATTTCGATGTAACTAATGAGCAAGAGGCGGATGATTTAGCTTTGGTAGATCATTAAATCAAGGATCGCATTTTGTAATTAATCGTAATTTGCTTAGGATAATTGTATTTTTATATTTTGTTTTGTTAATACCTGAGGGTATGTGTTTTGAGTTTTATACCTAGTAGAGAGGTATAAGTGCGATGTTTTTGTAAATACCTGAGGGTATGTGTTTGATTTCTATACCTAGTAGAGGGGTAAGAAATTTATGATTTTTTTTTGTGAATACCTTTGGGTATGTGTTTTGATATCTATACCTAGTAGAGAGGTATGAGATTGTAATTTGATATACCAAGTTCTAGTGGTATGTGTTTTGATATCTATACCTAGTAGAGAGGTATGAGATTGTAATTTGATATACCAAGTTCTAGTGGTATGTTTTGATATCTATACCTAAGTAAAGAGGTATGAGATTGTATAATGATATACCTAGTAGTGGTATGTGTTTGATATCGATGCCTAGCGGAGAGAGGTATGCGATTGGATGTTTATATTCAATATGACTAATATGAGAGTACATATTTGGATTTTTGACTGATAAATTTATTGTCAGGATGAACGAGCTACAAGTTATTAGAATGGTGATTCTTTTTTTTTTCAGATCAGAACGCAGAATAGCGCACGAGGGCGTGCGATAGGTCAGAGGTGGCCGTGTCGGCGACAGCCGTATTTGTATTGAGATTTTGTTTAAGAAGATAAACACTTTATTACTTTACCCTTTTAGTTCTTAGAATAAGTTCGGTAGTAGTAAGTAAATGTTTTCGGGGTGACTCAAAGGAAACCCATAAAATTATATTGGCTTGACAATAAAGTTTTATTTGCTGAAAACTTGGGAACCACTCAACTCTCACAAGGGGGGTTGAGGAGAGCGGAACGGGACCAGGATGGTTTGGTCAGTTTTTGAGAGGACTTGAGTCGGCAGTCGAAAAGAGAACTGGTCCCGGATCGCTAGTTCCTATTCTCTATTTCATTTTTCTTTAAAAATCTTTTCTCGATTTTGATTTATGCCGATTAGTTAAATTTAAGTTAAATTAGTTCGTTATAGTTAGTCATTTAAATATCAGCCGCCGTGCTATCAAATTGTTTTCTCTCGGCATCATTGTAATAAACTTTTTCGCGTCTAATTCATTTGTTTCATTTTTTTTGCTTTTATTTAACGTCGGCAGTTACTAATAACTATGTCGGACGGTGACGCGTCAGCTTCTGCTTCTCCGACATATATAATAATGTGACAAAATGATACGAGAGGAAAGATATAACTAAGAAAATATGAGGTGAGGCTCAGTATTATATTGAAAGCGATTTGAGATAAAATTGAATAAATCATCTGCAGTTAATTTTATGTTAAAATTTCTGATAATATGCATCAAGAAACATAAATAGGACTTTTTTCTTCAATCAGCAATAAATAAAAGATGATGTGAGAGGCTGCATGACAAAACAGGGTTTTCCTTTTTTCAATAAATAATTACTATGGCCCTGTGAAAACATAGACGCGTACGAACAATAAGTTCTTACAAAAGAAAACAAACAAATCATAAAAGACGTAGGTATATTCAAATAAGGCAAAATCAAGGAAACACAGCTGCTATTGCTGGAACCTAGACCAAAAATTACCTTCATATAGACCCGCGTGCCTTTGCGAAACTTATACGCGGTACCACTCCGTTAAGATCATCATTTACTCGAGTACAGTCTTCGGCGGTACCCCGACTTCTTGGCTGGTACCCTCTAAAATAACACGCTAACTTTTACTCGTGGTGGTTCCACGCGCGTGCATACGCCACCCGAAAAAAAAATGCATTTCTTCGCGCGGTCGTTGCTATTGCTACTATTTTCTGTGAATTTGGTGTTTGCACAAAATGTGGATATTTTTCCTGATTTACCTTTGGGGATTATTGAGGGTGAAAATGTGCTGTGCAAGGAACAGAGTAGGATTTATTTGGAGGCTTTGAGGAATTTGAGTTTGTGGGCTTATGAAAGTAAGTAACTAACCAACTCGGAATATGCTGTCTTATGAAAATTTGAGTAAAAATTTGCGGTGTCATCTTAAAACATGTTGGAATAATTATGGAAATCAGACCAAATAGTCAAAAAAAATTAGGTAACAAAAAAAAAAAAAAAAAAATTATGAAAAAACCAAATTTTACTTACTGAAATTACCTACCTCTTATACCTTCGATAATAAAATCCATCTTCAGACATTACTATTACCAAAATTTTAACTAATTACCAAGTAGGTACCTATTGTATGTATCATTTTAAAAATACTTAAAGTAAATGAAATATCTCAATATCATATTTTTTACCGCCTGGCATAAAAATTAAACTCAATTTTAGTGTAGCTTAATATATTAAAAAACCATTTTTGAAACGCTTTTGTCGGGAAGTACTATCATAATCATAAACAAATTAAGTACGACTTCATTGAATTATTTTTGCAACAACTACATTATCATCGTCATCAATTATAGAAAATCAGTATTAAATGATATCCATAATAATATATTCATTTTCTTTTTTCGATAGATGACACACTTAAAGTCGTGACCTATTTTCTAGAATCAACAAAAATTACATAAGGTTTAGAGAAATTATTAATGATGTATCGGTAAAACCCCCTAAAGCAATCTGGACCATACGTAATCTAAAAACGACCTTGCCGAAATTTCTCAGATTGTGTCACGTTAACAGGTAAAGTGGTCCGGTCCATGTTACGTCAGTTTGGGTCAGAATGTAACACTTTCTTCGTTCATTAACCGCAAAAGTCAACTCGAGGTATTTTTATGCAGGTTTACATGACATCTTATATTGCAGTTTTATGAAAAAAAAAAAAAAAAGGTTAAAACAATGTTCTGTTGCTTCAAAAGTCTTATTACACATTATTGCAAAATAGGATGTTATTTTGGTGCGAAATGAAAATTACAATATTGACACATTTTTTTTTTTGCTGAAAATTAGAAATTCATATTATGTTTATTCAGATTTGATGATGATGTCGCAATCTGAAATAACATTTTTAAAAACGTATCACAATGAAAATTAAAAACTTCAAGCATAAAACTATTTTTTGATTCTGAAAAAAAAGCATGAAAGGAATGAATTTTTTATTCAAGTTTAGAGACTTTTCAGTGTTACTTTTCTATTTAGCCTTTTGATGTTTTGATGTCTACAATATTGGAAAAATCAAATGGTATGAGTTCAGCCCTTCTCGTGAGAATTCGTAACTAAAAAAGTATGGAGTACATGGATTTGCAGTTCTCACCATTAGAAACACCACACTTCAATGTAGATTTCTCAAAAGTTTCTGCAGTTGTTTTTGGAAAAGTTTAATCGAACATGAATTTTGATTTAAAAAAAAAACTACCTACCCGAAAGAAGTCATATTTTTTTGAAAAAAAAATTGAGAAAATTTCAATTTTTCAACATTTCTCAGATCTTTCTCATTATTTTGAGGTCGTCGGTCAAAAATGGAACATAAGTTTTGAGAAATCGAATTTAGATGAAAATTAGATTGATTGAGATTCATTTGAAATCGAACTTTACACCATCACATTTTTGATGTTTCTTTATGTTTTTGAAAATCGGGAAAATGCGAATTGCAGTAACTCAGGTGCGATAAAAATCGTTACAAAACCATGGAGGATGTGAACTATTACAAACGCCACATTTCAAAATATATTTCTTGAAAACTTCAGATCCGCAGCTGTTTTTGAACAAGCTTTACAAATCGTCAATCATTCATTCGTTTTTTGAAAACATGCAAACGGGCACCCCTATAATAACTTAACTTCAATTTTTCATATTTTCTCAGTCTTTCTCAAAGTATTAATTTAAGTACTATTTTGTAATCGTGAGATTAATCAGTTTACCATTCAAACTTTCTGGTTCCTTTATATCTTCAAAAGTCTGGGAAATGTGATTTGCAGGAAAATTCCTAACTAAACATGCGGTTTTCACCATCAAAAGCACCACATTTCAAAATATATTTTTGCCTGATATTTATACAGGGTGTCCCACCGGGAACCAAATCGATCTATATATGAAAAACTGTATGCAGAACATTTTCAAAAATTTGACAGTATACTAATGTCAATGGGGACAACCTGGCTGAAATATTTTCAAGATGGTGGCTTTTCCGGTCATAACGGAAGTAGACGTCAACTTGCTTATTTTAAATGAGACACCCTGTATGTGATTGCATATTTGGATTCTACGTGAAATTCTGAGCAGATTTCATGTGATATACCGGAGATTAAATTTAAATAGAATTTTTGATAATGGATTAAATTCAAAGTTGGTGTCTAATGATAGTTTATAAATATCAAAGATGGGGATGTAAAATCGGTTTTCCTCTAAAATTAACCGTTTAGGTTTTACAGCCGGCCAAAGTTGCAAAAAGTCAATTTTCAACTGCCAATATTTCCGAAACAGTTGAACTCAGGTATAGGGTATACTACATGAAATCTTCTCAGAATTTTTAGTAGAATCCAAATATGCAATCACATGATGTCTGCCCAGCGACTCTATGTCTACGGGGCAACGGTAAGGGGAATGCAGTTGTAAAAAATGGCTGATTTCATTCATAAAATACCCAGCTGCGTGCGGAACTTTTTGGAAGTGTTATCGTATTGCATCTCGTACTCGAACTGGGCAAACAATACAGGAGTCTCACTCAAAATAGGCAAGTTGACGTCTACTTCCGGTATAACTGGAAGAGCCACCATCTTGAAAATATTTCAGCCGGGTTGCCCCCATTGATATTAGTATACTGTCAAATTTTCAAAAATTGTCTGCAGACAGTTTTTCATGTACAGCGCGCGGTCATCTATATCTCCTATACTAACGGAGATCGAACAAAAACTAAGTACCTACAAAACTTAAAGATAAACATAATGAGTACTACGTTCCTAAATTATTTTCCAGTATAGGGTAGCCCAATAAGTAGTGGTGATACAAAGTTTTTTTTTTTTTTTCAATGACTCCCCCTGTATATTATGACATTTCTGGATTCTGGGGAAAATTCTAGATATATTTCATGTATAATGTCATATACTTATCTTCAACTGTTTCGGGAATATTGACAGTTTAAAATTGACTTTTTTGTATCTTTGACAGACTGTAAAACCTAAACAGTTAATTTTAGAGGAAAACCAATTTTACATTCCGGTCTTAGATTTTCATAAGTTATCATTTGACACAATTTAAGCGGAACAGGTTTTACAGTTTGTCAAAGATGCAAAAAAGTCAATTTTCAACTGTCAATATTTCCGAAACATTTGAAGATAGGTATATGACATTGTACATGAAATAATATTTTTTTTCCGCAGATTTCAGAAATGTCATAATATACAGAGGGAGTCATTAAAAAAAACATACTTTTGTGTCACCACTACTTATTGGACCACCCTGGAATAGTAGGTACATTAGGTATATACCTAGGTAGAGAAGTTGATCATTATATACCGAGCGTTTTTATAAACTGAGGCGCGAAGCGCCGATATTTATAATGCGTAAGGTACCTATATAATGAATAGGGTTTGAAATCTGTGCTCAAATAATTTTTTCTTGTCGGAAGTGCTGCCCTCTATCAACAGCTTATGGTAATTTCCTATAATGTACATACAGGAACCTGCTTTTTTTAAAATTGACAGTTTAAAATTGAAATTAAACCAATAGAAACCTGTTACGTTATGACAATATCCTTGCGACATGACTTATTTTCATTATTGACCTAGGTATTTTTTCATTATTTTCATTATTAACCTAGGGAGAGAAATTCAATTTTTTCCCAGGAAAATAGATTGAATAATGACTACTTCTCAGGTTAGTAGTAAAAAAATAATTTAGGAATATAGTACTCATGTTTATCTATAAGTTTTTAGTTTTATGTTTGGTTTTTTTCTTCGATCTCCGTTAGTATAGGAGATATGGACCACCGAGCGCTTAGTAACTCACCCTGTATACTTACTTACCCATACTTATTTTGAAATCTGGTAGATAGGTAGTTATTATGTGCATTCCATTCCAGGAAAACAAAAAAAAAATCCAAAACCCCATTGCTTATAGGTATGTTCTTCTACCTTCAGCCAAATTTCTAACTTAAAATTTAGTGTCTTCCAATTTATCACGGTTCTGATTGTAATTTATTCCTAGCATTAACAGGTCTTCCTATGTTAGTAATACTAAAATGATTTTTCAAATTTTTTCATGTTGAGATTTCGTATCTAAATGATCATTCGGGATCCCCCAAACTCCATAGGTAAACTAAATTATTCTGAGATTTGGAGCTGGATGCTAGGAAAAATTGAAAAATTGATAAATCACCCCAAATTGTTTAACGCGATTTTATTTCTAGAATTATAAGTCCAAATCAGCTGAAATTTTCAGGGATTGTAGTCCTCTACTTGGACAAGAATTGCTGAGAATTTCAGCTTTCCATCTCTAATAGAAAAAAAGTTATGATTTTTTGAATTTTACAAAATTCTAAATCATAAAGTTAACCTCAGTACTAAAATGATGAAGTTTCAATTTTTTTAATGTTGAGATTTTTCATTTATATGATCAGTTGAAACCCCCTAAACTCCATACACTAAATTATTCTGAGATTTAAAGCCGGATTTTATAAAAAAAAGGCACCCAGAAAAATTGAACAATTAATAAATCACCCCACATTGCTTAACACGATTTTATTTCTGAAGCTATAAGTCCAAATAAGCTGAAGTTTTCAAGGATCGCTAAAGATTTCAGCTTTCTACATATCTCTAATAGAAAAAAACGTTATGATTTTACAAAAATTAAAACTTAGTATGCTGATGTTCAAACGAACATTTGGGACGTCCCAAACTCCATAAAGTAAATTATTGTGAGATTTGAAGCTGAAATTTTTGAAAAAAGGACGTCCAGGACTAAGTCCAAATCAGCTGAAATTCTCAGGCATTGAATTGTAGTTCTCTACTTGGGATTTTTAGCTTTCTATCTC